TCACTAGTTCAAGTATGTTTGTCCAATGAAAAATTGTTGGATTACTTAGATATATTTAGAGAGTTTAGTACGACGGGGAAAAGTTTAAAAACTGTTAAAATCGCCCGCGAAAATATGTAATGTCCATATCTTTGATGGAGGTCCCAAAATCAGCTAAAATCGTTTAGGATTTAGGCACTCTTGTGCCTAAATTATGCATATTTTCCATTGGCACATCTAAATCTACAATTTTTAATAAACTTAGAAGGCACAGTATTTAGATATAATATGGGCAATATGAAATACATCTGACTGATATGAAAAGTGTCCTCTGAGTATGTGTCTTGCTGTAAGGAATTTTAATGGTAACCACATAACTTTTATCATCTATATCATGTTTATATAATAACTAAAAATAATAGTGCTTGGTCTTATATGAGCTTATTTAGAAGTCTTAACCGCTTTCGAGATACAAGGTGTTAACTGTCCCAAAATAAATTCATTTAGTGCAAATATCTTTTGAAACAATTTTGGTGTACGTTATATTGGGTTAAACATCCGTAAAATATTGTAATATCAAGACTTTTGCGCAAAGTTCACTTGAATGCATTTTGTAGCCTTGTATTCAAAATAAAAAATTAGTTTTTTTGTTGCTCATTTAGTTTACCTAAAGTGTACAATATAATTGCCTTTATTACACATGTAAACAATAAAATAATGGTAATTTCCAATAAATTAAAATGCGTGTCTCTGGTATCCTGGACATACCGAAGTTGTTTACAACGTCATTAATCAATACGTCATTACGTCAATGAAATGATTTTGACTCTATTACCCACCATAGGTCTTATAAAGCTATGCTATTCTTGGCCGCAGAAGGTCTAACTTCTCCTAAAACTGTGGGCAATGTCAGCAATTGGATGGAGCTTCTTGTCCTGATGTTCTGTATATCAAACGTGCAGGAAGATCCAGAGTAGCTGAATAAGTTATAAATGTTTTACGTATAGTCGTGTTTGTGCTCATTTGAGTTATATTTGTATTTTTAAATATTTTGTTAAACTATACTAAAGTGCTATCGGTGAGATATAAATGACGTCATCTACTGATAACACCGCTGAGTATTAGTAAATCGAGTATTAAGTAGATAGATTTAGTATATTATAGCCTTCATAAATGATTACAAGCCGCATGACCGTCGACCATAGGCAACTGTGGTTGGTACTATCAACTAAAAATCCCTAAACCTCAGTGGAGTGGTTGAAGGGGCTAGAGGTAATTAAATAAGATTATTTTTTAAATTAATTAAAGTGAACTGTTGATATTAAACTTAATACAATTTAGTATTACACAAATACATTTATTTTTTTCGGTGAACTTTATTAAAATGATAAAACTATCAAACTTTACTTGTTAATGAATAAATTGCATAATTTTGATAAATCTTGATCTTATTGTTTTAGTAATTTTTAATTTTACTACAATTTAATTGTCAACGCGAAGGAAATAAACTTAATGTTTTAAACAAAAGGCTCCGTAAGGGAACAATGACGTTGGTACTGGAAGTGAACGAAGCCTCGCAACGATCACCTCAACCGTTATGCTTTATTTATGAGATCTCGCGGAAAGTTCGGGGAACAGATAACTAACGGATGAGGTTTCCAAACAAACCTGACAAGAGGCAAACAAAAAGGGGCAGTAAAAACAAGCAGCGAAGGATGTAATCTGTTAGTGATCGTTTCCTATTTCTATTCGAGTTTAACGCGGCTGTTTATAGTTCTTCTCCCGGTCTATATTCTCGAGTTTACGAATCTGCCTCGCACTTGTTGCTGCGCTCATAAAGGAGATACTCTTGGCTCTGTTGCCGTTGTACGGCCGCCTTATTTATTTGCCAATTAAAAGTTGAGCTCGCCATGTAACAACTTATTTTCAATTGCTCGAGTGTAAGTATTTTAATATATCAAACGGAACCATTACCCGATGCGTACATCGATTCGCTGCGGCTGCGGAATGTTGCACGTTCGATTTTATTTCTGGCATTTACGGAGCGAATTCGATGGAAACCAGAAATGAGTCTTAAGAGGCGTAAGCCATAAGTACGTGTAAAACAGAAGGCCACAGATTCGTGCACTCAAAATAGGCCGATTTGGGCTAATTCACATATATCCAAAATCGCTTCGTTCGTCCACGAGACAGCCCGAAAGTTTCCTAAAATTGTTTGATGTTCCAGTGGCGGAGATACAGGGGTTTCAGGCATATTTTTCAAAATAAAATAGTACCCCACTGCTTTACGGTAACAATCATGATATTTTCGGATTCGTCTTCGAATTTTCTACAAATTGCTACTCTCTTATGTTTTGCGAAAAAAGCCCGATTTTCGAGTAAAACTTAAAAACGAACGAAAACCATAAAAGATGGCCAAAAGAGCCATAGTTTCCTTGTATACAAAAATTTACTTTCACCTAAAAAAAGAAATGTGGAGTCATTCCATAGTTTCTGCATTACTTAAAGTACTACATTTACAATCTTCCTGTATAGTTGTTGATCCTTCTCCATTAGAGAAGGATCAACACAACACACAACACTTTTGATTTCACAGAAAAGGTAATCATAGAATATTAAATCTGGCGATCGCGATGACCATCTTGTTCTCTTCCCATCCACTGTTCCGGATATTGCACATGTAAATGTTGTCGAACAGGTGATGAAATAATGCCAGTGGCGTCTTTTGACTTCCATATCAGGGAGGGCGGAAAATGTAGGTATAAAGTAGTAAAAAAAATGAAATATAATTGGGTAGTTTTATTTTAAGTACTACGGAAGTGTAGGGAAAATATGCTCAACATTATTTTTTATAGTGAAAGTCCTTTCTTCTGCTTTTGTCCGAAATAAACTTTTCAATTACTTTTTTATTAAGGTTTGGTATTTCTCGCACCACTGATTTTTCAATATACAGGTTCGGAAAGTCCCCATGGTACATCGGCCGTTACGCGAGAGCGATAAAGTAAGTCATAGAAATCCGTGCGATAGACAAGGATGGTTACATTGAAGACGTTTCATTATCTGAATAGTCACTCCCACTTCTAACCCGAAACGGGCGGTGACTATTCAGATTATGAAACGTCTTCACTATAGCCATCCTTGTCTATCGCACGGATTTCTTTGCTTTACTTTGTCGCTGTCATGTAAAGGCAGATGGACCATGTGGATTTTCCAGCCCTGTATAGCAAGTACTGTTAGTCTGTCTTTACAATTTAATTTAAACTTTTACAATCTATTAACAAACACACAAGAAAGAATACGTAGGTAACAAAATTTTACACCACATATAAATAAATTACCTTTAATAAGAAAAAAAAGCAATGTATTCATTCTATTATTTAGTTCCGGTCAAACTAAACAGAGCTCAAACTGCGTAATAAATATGCGCTACTCCCGCTGCGTCTTTCTGTGCTGCGCGACGGTAACCATGACCACCACTGTAAACATTTTAGAAATTTAGGGTCAAGCTACGAGGAGCGCATGTATTCAATGTTTGTTAAATGAATTTTAATTGAAGTCGACTTAAACTGACTGCACTACAAATTTAATAATTCCTTTTTAATGTGTTTCATAAGTCTGCAACAGGCGCTACTGAATAATACATAAATCCCAATTCAGTGGTAGATTTTCTAATTCTGTGGCAAAGTTGAATTGAAAAAACTCTGTATTTGCGAAGTTTGATTGTTGGGCACGCAGCGATTAGGATATCTACCTAAGTAGACGCCGACATTTTCCGACTATTTCTTAACAAAACCTGTAAATCAAGAGCATATCTACTTGTTCGTCGCCGTGATTTATCTTATCGTATTAAATACTCATCATGGACTGACAGGTACAATGACTTTATAAAAATCAAATTGTAATTACCAATTTTTGACATAACAAATCGATCAAGTAATTGACCAAGTTATAGTGGAACATGTAATACATTAATTGCGATAACTAGCTTCAATCAATTGACGAAGAAACTGGAAACAACAGAACTGGTTTAGACTTATTTGCAGTTTACTTTCATAAAAAGGTTTTTTTCCTATTTTTTGCCGTAGAATGCGTTGCTAAAATATCACGCGCTAATTTTGGGTCACCATGTACACAAGCGACATTAAGAGAAAGAGGAATTTAAAAAAACATTGGTGGTGGTACGAAGAACAAGAACCAACTCTGTTTAAAGTTCCCATTCAGCTCCAGGAATCCCAAGTCCACCGAACTTTCCCTGTACATGCCAAGGTATCCGGCCAAGACGAGATAACGTCGTCGCGTATTACATACCTATGAAACAATGACGTACGGAAGACTGAAATAGAAATAAAAGGTTTTTGTTGTTGCAACACGAGCCGGCAGTAACTGCATTAGCGTTTGTTGTTTATTTACACGGTTGTTTGTTTTTTTGAGTAAGTTTTCTGAGGGAATATTTAGCGTGATACTTCGTCGTGTTGGGTACTGTCTAGCAATTGTATTATTTTTTGTACGCAAGCTGTCCTAGAGTGACGAAAAATGGTCCGGAATATAACCGCCTATTGGCACATCACAACGAAAATTATGTATAAAACTCATTCGGAAGGTTGGCTAGAACAGTATAAATTCATAATTTTCCAAAAAAAAAGAGAGTTGAGAGATAACCCAGCTACCATTTGCCAAAGTTAGTCATAGAGCTTGTAGAACACCCTATATAGCTACGGGTTTATACATATTTGTTTAGAACTACCTATTTTATTTCACTAGATTTTGAATGGAGTTGTCATTGTTCCATAACTTCGGTAGTAAGTAGTTTGGTATTGAACAATCTCTACATAATTAGTGACGTCACCTGCGAAACGTTGAGGCCTTATAATTAGGCGGTATCGTCCGCTAGTTAGTGGGGGTAATCGGGACAAACAAATAAGTAACCCAAATAATTCCACAGCCATTTTGTTGTATTAAAATTGTTTCTTAGTGACGCTTCTATCGATTGGCGGCATTCATCGCACGACTTTTTGTTTCAGATCGGGCCCCCAGCGAGGCACCTCTCGTATGCAGAGATTCCTACCCAGGTTCACTCACTACGAACGGAGGTATGTTGATTTTTTCCCCTTTTCCTTTAAAACGCAGCTAACGTCCACACGACAGCTTGGAATATTAAAGAGCCGGACTGTCTCAGCCATAAATTTAATAACATACCGATGGCGTATGTGTGCGCAGCATATGCAAGCGGCGCATTAGTCGCGATACCGGATAAAATGTTGCTAATTGGAATGGTCTCACATTGGCCGGGTTATTATTCCGCATGATACGCGGCGGTTTGCAATCCGAAACCTTGCAGTTTTATCAGATGAAGAGTTATCAGTGTTTGTTTGTATGTAGTTATTGAGCCGAGTAAAACAGAGTCCGAACGTGGTCAAACGTATATTTAACAGCGAGCGATTGGTTGTTGGTGAAAACGTTCTATTTTTGTGGGTATGATGACATTTATTTTGAAAATATTCAAATTGCTATTTTTAGCTCCCGATAAAGATTTAATGAAAACTAATTAAAGTTCCAACTAATGGCGGTAATTAATTACAGTAAAGAATTAAAAATGTATCAGTTAAATATACATTCTTGCGTCATACGGTTTTCATAGTGCTGGATACGTAACTGCAAGGCTGTGTATTCTTCAAGTACTCTTCTTGAGTTGTTTTGTTCCCATTCCAACCGATATTTGATGTTTGATAATTTGTCTTAATAATTATAACTTATACTATGTATAGCCTGAACTTGGATAATTCGAACTTGAATTACACAAATTTTATGCTCCAGTGCCAAAATAGTAAGCAATGACTCATTCTGATACAGATCCATGCGACGGGAAAGGCGATTCCATGGGCGTATCAGTTTAGAGTCTTTAAAAAAATGTCAGACAGAACAACAAACAGATATGTTGACTTTGGTAAAAACTAAGTTGTCCTTGCAAATTTATACTCACCTTGGTATATCCAAATGACCAGTAGGTAGGTAGGTACTTTTTTATACTTATATAAGAAAGCAGCAAAGCAGCAATTTTGTCCTTATAGGCAAAAATCTACCTCTGTACACTTATTTCTTCTTTTCTTTTAGAGGCGCCAACTGGATAAGTGGCTCGTCCTTGCGAAAAGTCTATTTATAAGTCTAAATCCATTTCATGTATAGTAAGTAATTTGTATTTCCTTTGATATTTAAAGTTAATTTAAAAATCCATGAATCTCCCTATGGATCGTATATTTAATGTCTTTGTCAATTTTTTTCTTGTCACGTAGTTTTCTTTTTTTTGCTGTTTTACACTTTCACTACTTTTTAACATACGATAGTGTCGATAGTCACATCTAACAGACATTTTCTATCCGCGTTTCATGCTCGAATTCCTTTATACACATCGTTTATATACAACATATTTGATCTGTTATATTCGTGAATTTACGAGTACTCTACCTACCTCTACCTTACTAGATTTGTACGCTTATGAAACGCACTGACACGCCATGCCTCAGCAAGAAATTGAGACAGGGCGGGAATTCAAACGCTACATCAGCTCTCTCTTTTTGAACACCAGTATTTTATCAGATTAAGATGTAGTAAAAATTGTAGTTTGATTTATTTATGACTATTGTTTGCTATTTTGCCACACTGGAATATTTTCGAATAAATTGACGCTTGATTGGGAATTCTACATATTGAAGGACAACTGAACCAGTTTAGATCACATTCACCCAATTTTAATCAATAATGTATCAATTTGGGTCCACACCCGACTATGTGAAATTTTCACTCTGATAGTACAACTAAAATTTTATGTCAGACTATTGCAAGTGAATTTTACTCAAATCCGCTAACTATCAAGTGAGTGACTCTTGACTCTATTATGAATATGCAAAACCAATTAAGAGTTGACTTTTTCTCTAATATGATCTAGATTTGAAGTAAGGTCCAGAGCTCACCAAAATAACCGAATTAACGGACCTTTGTCCAGCACTACCCGCCATACACAAGACCTATTGACCTAATGGGGACGACGGGAATAGACAAAGATTACGCACGACAATCATCGAATGGGGCGGGGTTACTCAATAATGAGGACATTTACCCCGATTTAGCTACAAGTGCACCAAATACGAGTTTACGTGAAGAATTTATTTAAGGAGTATCTATATTTGAGTGAAAGTACTCAGTTTTAGTTCAAATATTCTCACAAATAAGTAAAATTATCAAAATGCTCAATATTGAGTGAAAATGTACTCAATAAATTCACTCAATAGATTCACTCAATAGATTCACTCTGTACCTTTATTGCTTTCACTCACACCGATTTTTGGGTATTCTCAATGCAATCTGGTTACAGCGTGTGACAATGTTTTTAGGGGATTCGTCTAAGTAAAAACTAAACCAGAAAATTGTTTTCCAAAAACCTCTTTTAATCCCAACGTCATAAATTAGATTTTGCACAAATTTTATATGTAGATGACTACAGTATCAAGGTTGAAATCCACATATATTTCCACCTTTGTCAAATATTTGCAAATATCTTCGAGAAGAATGTGATGCTGTCAATTGTTGAAGGAATCATTGTATAGAATTATTCTAACATACTTTACACATCAAAATAGTGCTACAATATGTTTTTATTCTTCAGAAGTTCCTTTATTGGTGACGAAGAACGCAGTGCCAAATTGCCCAAACTTTGACATGGACATACATAGATATCTACGAAACCTAATAATACACGTAGACCTAATGGATTACATAGGTATCGCATCGCAGTTTCATATATTTCATTCCGGCGGACTTAAAACGAGGCACTGTCCAGTTTTCCTAAAAAATATGTTGTAAAATTTAACTATTTCATAAATGAAACGCTGTTCGATCTGTAGGTGAGTGTATATGACATCATAAGTCGCGGTGGCCGCTCTCTCTAGCGGGCCTCACTCAAGGTGACCAACAAGAGGTCCCCAAGTGGTCCCCGCGCCTCTCAGACCCTCAGGGCGACCTGCTAGGGCGTGGTGTCGTCTACATATACATCCATATAAATTTACAGTGTACACAGGCCGAAAGAATCTAGGAACTGTACTCCAGTGCCAAAATAGCAGGCAGCAGTCATAAATAAATCAAACCGCAATTTTTACTACTTTATCTCGAAACCTCCATATACATATTTGCCAGAACTGCAGATCGAAGTGGATTTCAAACTCGATACAGTGGCGTTAAAATTAGAAGAGGTTTTTGGAAAAATGCATCTGGTTTTCACTTTGACGGATCCTCTTAAAAGATGTCACATGCTGTTACCAGACTGCGTAGAGAGAATTTCCTTCATTCTTATTGCTTCAGTTGTCTTCGTAGATATAGAGGTTCAATATGTACCTACTATTCTAACAAAACGTTTTGTCAATTTAATCGATTACACTCCAGTATGCCCAAATAATAGGCAATACAGTTATAAATAAATTAAACCACAAATGATAATATCATTTTATGTCTTCTCTATGTGGAAATAGTGTATAAAAAAACAATTTTTGAAACCCTTTAAAATGATACACCCATGGAATCGTATTGGCACTGGAGTATAGTTTGGTGTTGAAGTTATAAATCAAATAAACGAAATTCCAAGGAACTTCTTTTCCGGTTCTTAGTTAATCAATTCCATTTTATGTTTTAAATTTTTTAATTGATTATTACAGAAAATTTACAAAATTTCTCTTACAAAAACCATAAATACTCAATCGTTTAGAGCATCAAGCCTAACTTTTTTCGCCGAGTTTATACTTCTAAGACATATCATTATTTAATATTATGTAATTATAATAACGCCGCCATTTTTCAATGGTAAAGTACCAGCGCATATTTTTCATGGCAGGTGTAGAGACACAAGTAACGATCTAGAATATCTGAAATCACCACTGTCACCATTCCACTACACGACATTTCACTGAAATAAATCAATATTAAGAACGTTGAACTCTGCCGCAGCTAAACAGTTATCAGGAAATTTATAGAAAATATGGCAACGCAGACACTATCGTGTTAATTTCGTATTTTTAAGAGCGATTTAAAAAAGTAAATATATTCCTGACTTTAAGTGTTATCTGATTTGCGTTATCTGATATTAAGGCAAATAATTTAATACAATTAGTAAATTTTTTCAACCGTGAGATACGAGCAGAAAAAATGTGAACAAATTCGGCGATAAGAATTAGAAATAATTAATAAGTAATTAAAATACAATGTCTCGAGTCATCGAAATCATCAAACAGTCATTAATTAATGTATGACAGGTTTAAGAGCATTAGACTATTGCGGTCATCGTTTATCACAAAATATTTGGACTCGTAATCCAACAACTTGCCCCACAAAGATAAAACACCGTCTGATAGAAAAACAGTGTCCTAAATAGCATCAGAAGTACCTAATACATTTCCCATATTGGCTCACAGTAGTTTTGGAAAAGATCCGTTTGGGTAAACATATTTTTACGATAGGTGATCAATTAATCTTCTACTAACTAAACTGTGGCACGTTTATATTGAAGATTATCGTTCCTTATTTGTCTTTTAATATCGATTAGGCTAGATTGAGTCGATTCAAAACGAGCAGTTAGGTAATTTGGACCAGTTTTAATGCAAGTGTGTATAGGTTAAATTAGGTTTTAAACAACAATTACATAATAGTTATTTACACCATAAAGGAGGTAAGTATTATTTACCAGTCGAGGACGATTTTGCGCCCGAGAGGAACGATGGCTGGTAATAGAGTCCGAGACTGGTCAATTATACTTAACTGCTTCGTGGTGTATAACATTTTATCTGCTCCCACAGTTCTTCATGGTTCATGAAATAAAAATTAGGTTTTACTTTTTGACATTTTTTAATCAATTCATTTTGACATTATTCGAAATCTTGCAAAGTCGCCTTGGTTGTTTGGATTTTGTCGTTTCTAAGGTGTTTTATACATAAAGCTACATAAAAGTTGCAATTTTGCTGGTTTTGAATTATTATTTCTAAATGAGTGATTTCCAAATAGAAAGTGCAGCAAATGCTGCCTGCGAATTTTTATTTCCCGAGAAGTCGAA